CTGTCGCGTCTCGAAAGCCCCCTGACAAAGCAACCTCTGGGTTGCCTGCCCATCCGCGCGCCTCACGGACGAGACGCCGACGGCCTCTGCACAGGAGGGGCGCTTCGTCTCTGACACCGTGACGCTCTGCACCAAGCTTCGCAAACCTGTCGGCGCGCCCGTTGACACGTCGCCCCCGCTCCGCGCTGCTGCCAGCGTCGACGTCGGCTGCCGACGCGCGGCCGACGGCCTCGATGCACCCGAACTCGCCGAGGGAGAAAGGGCTCCGCGCGGGGCCCCACATGCGCCCCAAAGGTGCCCCAGCGCCCTCTGAGTCATCAGGCCCGCTGGCCAAAAAATCCAGAGCTGCGGCAATCTACGCACACATGAAAGGAAAAGGAGAAGCCCACCTGCGCCAGCATTCTTGGGGCCGCGCCCAGAGGAACCGTCTCGAGTAAGTTTCGAGGGCGCGGGGAGATGCACCCAGCAAAACGCCCCGGCATCTCGGGGCTGCGACCCTTCACCTTCTGCGCGCGAGCACGGATGGCCGCCGGCTGGGTCACGTCGAGAGGCAGCGTGGGCGGGGCACTCATACTGTCGGCGCCGCCATGCGCCGGGGCCCCCTCGGCCCCGCTGGCGCGCCTCCCCATCCTGATGGTTGCGCCCGAAGAGACACGCTTAAAGCCAATGAACTCCAGAGGCCCGGCCACTATGACACCGCTGGCGCTGATCTCCAAACCTGAATATTTCCCCCGGAAAGACCCCGCGATCCTGCCCCAGAAAAATGGTAGACAGGAGGCCCACCAAAGCCATTCTGGAGCAGGAGGGCGCGCCTGTCCGAGGCCCCGACGGCCGCCTGTCCGACGAGGGGCCCGACCTGCGCCGGGGAGATCTGCAGCGCGTTGGATTCCACGCCCAGGTCGCTGATCACATGGCGATGGTTACGACCTAATCCACGCAACATGGGCACAGCCACGCGACCGGGCAAGCCACGTCACGGGCGAACTGAATTCGCGAACTTCGCAATCGAGCCCTGCGCGGCGCTGGCCAAGACCTGCGCATTCGGATCCGCCTCCCAAGCTGCCGCGCGCCACGGAAAAATCCGCCGACCCTGTCGGCGTGTGAGAGAAGCTTTCCCGTCTCCCCCACAGCGTCGTCGCCTCGGCCCCCTTCACAAGTCCACGCAAAAATTGAACAACGTCGCCCTTCGGTCGAATGGAAGCCACTTCCCCTGACCCCCGCCACGGCGGGGGGGGGGCCCAGGGCAACTCTCGGGGGGGCGGGGCCCTTCACTCCGGGGGGGGGAAGGTCGGCGGGAGGGGGCCCCCCTTACTCCCGGGGAGGGGCCCCGCCTCGGATGCGCAGCCCCCCGTCTCTCACCCCCTTGCGCCCTGGAGCTCCGATGGCCCGCTGGGGCCGTCTGCGGGCCCTTTGACGCCTCCCCCCGCCGAGGGGGGGGGTGTCCCGGGGCAGCTCCCGGGGGAGAGACCCCCCCTCGGATATGCAGCCCCCCGCCTCTCATCCTCCTGCGCCCCGGTTGGCCCTCCGGGGCCGTCTGCGGGACCTTTCAGCCTATCTGAAGGCTCCTTGGAGAACTTTCGTTACGTTTGTCTCTCTTGGCAGCCTCTGGCGGCGCCCTGGACAGCCTCTGCTGGCGCTTTTGGACCTCGCTCGACGCCGTCTTGGAAACCTCTCGGGCCACTCGAGGGCGCTCTCCGCTCATCTCGGCACTCTCTGGAGCCGCCCCCGAACACTGGAGGAGGCCTCTTGAGCTGTCTCCAGACGACCTTGCAGGCATCTGGCGCCGTCTTCGAGCCATCTGAAGGCATTTTGGGCCCCTCTACCTCCATTGTCCTCGTTGTCGCTGAGTACGGCGTCGGCGGCATCGGCCGCAAGGCCCTCGCAATACACGCCCAGAATGGACCACCAACGGGCCCGCCTTGACCCCGAGCCCGCACGCGACACGGAGAAACATGCCAAGGGAACACCCACTGCTCCACACCAAAAGCCCACCATCATTAAAAGAGCCAACCCCGAAACACTCGGGCCGAAGAGGGCCGCCGCCGCAGGGCCCATCGCGCGCGCCTTTCCGACGTCGGCCCCAGCTCCCTGGAGCAGCTTCAACACTCTAGCCCGAGAGGTCAAAGAGACGAGCCTGGCGTTATGGATGCTGACCCTGCGAAGTCTCCCTAGAATGGCATTCGCCCCCAAGCTCCGGGCCGCGACCGCCCTTCCTGTCGTGGTGAGGCTCTACTTCCGTGCAAGGTGCTCCCCGACCACTCCGGGGCAAAGGTCGGCGCACTTCTTGAACTCAACAGGTAGCCAACTGAGAAGTTACCTGAACACACGGGCCGCAACTCCGCTGAGTGACATCGCCCACGACGCCACGCATGCATAACAAGCGCCAGCGGCGACGCGCGTCTAGCAACGCGCCGAGCAGCAGCACCCCAGCCATGACTGCGGCCCCCGAAAAACCTGTCACGATCGCACTATTCGGCTCGGCAACGCGCGACGGAGCCGCTCTATGGAGCAGCATCCTGTAGCCAGCACAGAGAAATCGCCACGGATGCGCCGAGCTGGAAAACTGAAACGCGCAGCCGCAGCTAGCCAGTGCCCGCGAACAACGCCCTCCTAAAACTTGGCCAGGCCCAGGAGGGCCGACTCCGACGCCGACCCCGACTTACGCCCATTGGCCCCAAAGAAGCGATGCACCCACCCCGCTCGGCTGGTGCAGTCGGATCCAGGTTTCCATGACGAAGCGCTATATATCCCTGTGGGCCTGGCCCCGCCCGCTGGCTCACGCAGAAACGCCGCGCCGGTCAGCAGCGCGAGAAGAAGGCCCCAGGGGTCAACTTCGGCAAACGCAAGAACCCCGAGCAAGCGAAACGGATGGCTTCGAGGCAGCTGTCGAATCCACACCGGGCGGATCCTGACCCAACCCAGGCCGGCCAAAGGCCGGTGTTTCTTGTCTGTCGTCGACCGACCATTCTCACTGGATCCAAGAATGCACAACTCCTGCCCAGCGCGCGCGCCTCCGTCTGGGCGCGATCTCGACCGAAGTAATTTCGACGCCGCCACGGGCGCAAGCGGGAAAGAAAGAGAGACAGAGAGAGAGAGAGAGAGAAAAAAAAAAAAAAAAAAAAAAAAAAAAAAAAAAAAAGAGAGAGAGGAGAGAGAGAGAGAGAGAGAAGAAAACAAACACGAAAAAAATGGAGACCCCCCCCCCTCCAAAAAAAGAGGGATACAGAGGGAGAAAGAGAGAGAGAGAGAGAGAGAGAGAGAGAGAGAGAGAGAGAGAGAACAAGAGAAAGAACACACCTACACATATTTAAATATACATTTAATGGAGAGGGAAAGAGAGAAAGAGAGAGAGAGATAATGAGAGAGAGAGAGAGAGAGAAAGATATATATATATAGAGAGAGAGAGAGAGAGAGAGAGAGAGAGAGAGGGAGGACCCCGAAATCCCCGCGGCAGGAGCCGCCGAAGCTCCCGCGCAACACGTCGACGGCAAACTCGGCTTCGCCACTCCACCAACGGAGGGGTCGACTGATGCCGAAGCCGACGCACTGGAGCCTGAGCCCGATGCAAGATTGCCCGAACCCCGTTATTTGGCCTTCCTGCCTGGGGGCGGGTCTTCACTCCCGTCGGGCGACGGACGGCCTGGTTGGCCTTTATGAGCGAGTGAACCGAACCGAGCGGCGGCCAGTCCGCGAAACTGCGTTTTGGCTAAGCGTTCGGCGAAGAGCTTGGCGATCTGATCGTTGTCGCCACCCTGCTCGTAGATCCGCTCGAGGTTGATGAATCGTCATCCTCCATTCTCGCGTAGCCTGAAGCGGCGTATCCAGCTGCACCTCGTGCTCGAGGAGCTGATGACGGGGGGGCGACATTGCCATTCCCTGCAGCACCAACTCCTGCAGCGGAGAAGCATCAGCTTCCTGTTCCCTTGCTTCCTCCTGGAGCCGGCGAAGCTTGGCGAGCGCTTTGCGGCCCTCAGCGGAGTGCCTGACCGCCGAGCTGAACCCTGCGAACCCGAGCTCGAGGGGGCCCTCGGTCTGTTCCACGTGGATCCTGTGCGAGACCTTGATGTTGCGCTCCAGCTCTGCACGAGCCTCGACCAACTGCGTCTCAGTCTCGTTGGTGGCCCTGTCGAATTCGTCGCGCTGGACTGTGTAGCTCGACACACGCTCCTCGAGCCGCTCGACCTTTCTCTTGTTGTTATCGACCCTATGGTGGGCAACGATTGCCGAGGCTGGCTTGGTATCCTGCTCCGCGATATGCATCTCCTGTGTTTGGGAGATGGCCACCTCGCCGATGTTGTACTGCATGGGGAACTGCAAGACATGGCCGATAGACAGGTCCGACTGGGGCTGCTGCTGCACGCATGGACGGGGAGCGCTCCCGCCGCCACCAACGACCTGCGAGCGCAGGGCAACCAGCTCTGCCTTGAGTTCCTTGATGGCAGCCGAATGTGTTCATGGCGGCCAGCGCGCCCATACACTCTTGGGCCCTCGCTGGAAGGGGGGCTTGGGATTATGAGCGGCAGCAGCAGCAGACGAGGCGATGCGTTGCGGGGCGGCTGCCCCGCAGCCCCTGCACTTGAGCCTGCTGGCCCAGGTGCCGTCAATCCCGCATCGGTACCCCCACGTGAGGTACTTCGGGCCTGACAAGACATGTTGTTGGGTATTGCCCATGAAAAAACCTGGACACAGGTCTCACGGAAAGTGGCTCGCTGGCACAATGTCACTTCGGAATATGCGCCTGCTACACTCCCAATTGCTAAATGGCTAAGATGAGGAGGCGGATGAGAAAGAGGAACAGGAGGAGGAAGGAGAGGTCGAGGAGGAGGAAAAAGAGAAGGAGGAAAAGGAGGAAGAGCAGCAGCAGGAACAGCAGGGAGGAGGAGGGAGGAGGAAGGAGGAGGGGAGGAGGAGCAAGAAGGAGGGGAGGAGGAGGGAGGAGGAGGCGGGGAAGGCGGAGGAGGCGGAGGAGGCAGCAACGTCATCGGGCCGCGCCCCGCCGCCTCTGCGCCGGGCGCCGCCGCAGGCGCTGCTTCCCGGGGGCCCTGCAGAGCGGCCGCGCCCGGCAGCGGCGCGGGGTCTGAGTCGGTGGCAGCGAGGCGCAAGGCGCTGGGCGCCTTGCGCACGGGTGGGGGGGGCTCTGCCACCTTCCCCTCCTCCTCCTTCTTCTCCTCCTCCTCCTTTTCCTCCTCCTCCTGTTCCTTCTCCTCTTCCTCCTCCTCCTCCTCCCTCCACTTCTTCTTCTTCTTCTTCTTATTATTATTCTTCTTCTTATGAGTATTAGTATTATTAGTATTATTACTATTGTTCTTGTTAGTTTTGATAGCATTCGTATTATTATTCGTCGTCTTATTATTCTAATCAATATTCTTATTACTATCATTATTATTATGAGTAGTAGTACTATTATTACTATTAGTAGTATTATTCCTCCTCCTCCTCCTCCTCCTCCTCCTCCTCCTCCTCCTCCTCCTCCTCCTCCTCCCTCTTGAGACCAGCATCATCATCATCAATTGAGACCAGCATTATCAGCATCATCAGCATCAGCATCCTCATCCTCCTCATCATCGCCATCGTCATCATCGTCACAATCATCATTATCATCATCATCAGAATCGTCATCATCATCATCATCAGTATCATCATCGTCATCATCATCAGCAGCATCCTCACCATCATCAGCATCAGCCCTCATCCCTCATCCCGCATCCCTAATCCCTCATCCCTGAACCCTCACCCCTTGTCCCTCATCCCTCATCCAAATGTTCTATCCGTCTCCTCTCCTAGGGAACACCGAGCAGCAGCAGCATCGCTACCCTCGACTCCTCTGAGCCCAGACACCACTTCTGCTCCTGCTCCTGCTCCTGCCTCTGGGGAAACCAACAGACGCCGATACCGCTACTCCCTGCCCCTCTCCTGGGGTGCGTTCTGACCATAAAATTGGAAGCGAATCCAGCCGTGGCGACGACGGCTTTCCCAAATCCCCAACAAGGCAAACAGTCGGTATCCGTGTCGATCCCGCGTCGAATCCACGTCAAACCCGCGTCGAACCCACGTCGAGTACAAAAAGAGACTGCCATCTGCAGGACAGCGAGAGACCCCCGAAGATGCAAAGTGAGGAATCGGTACCTTCTCCTCCTCGGCGGCGCGCACAAGGGGGGCAGGGGGAGGGGAGAGAGCTTCGTCAAGGAGGCTGCTTCTGAGAAGCCGCCGGCCTTACATCGACAGACAAGGCCCGCGCCTTCCAAGAAACAGCCCCCTTCAAAGAAGCCTTCTCCCCTCACCCTACCCCCTCTAAACGGGGCCGATCATGAGCCTCTCTAGGTAGCAACGATGCTTCCAAAGCCAAATCCCAACACGCTCGGCTGGCGCGCTTGATCCGTCATTATCCCCTCGTCCTCGTGGGCGAAACACATATCCGTATCCGCGGCCTCGCGGGCAAGGCCCCTGGGCCGCGACCCCACAAGTACGGGGTGGTTCTTCGCGGATGCCCCGCGCGGAACGTAACCGTGCAACCGTGTATCCGCGGGATCGCGCCCCGGACCTTAGACTGCGAGGGCGCGGCTACAGAGAGGTTCGCCGCTCGTGACCTCCGCCGCCCCAGAAACGCAAATCGCGCTCGCTGCCCCTCAGAGAGCTTCAATGCATCGGTCGGCTACACGCAGGAGTGACCCTAGCAAGAGTGATCATCGGTGCGCGGCCCAAGAGGAAGAGCTTTGGGAACAAGACCAGGCGCGCAAGCCGCCCTGTCGCGTCGCACCTCGCGACCAGGGGGCCCCCTCTTGCCATCGCGCGGACGTCCATTCCCCGTGCATCTTTCGATCCCGCGCGTGTATTTTGCCACACGTTGGCCCAAGATGCTCCTCGATGGTCCTCGCCGAAGAAGAGCAACGCACACGTCCGAGCGATGCCAGGCCACCCGGGTCCATCCAGGCCCGGGCCAGTGCGGCCCTGCAGGATCCCGCAGGATCCTGCAGCATGCTGCACCCAAGCCCAGGCCAACGCGCCCCTGGCCCTGCAGCAGTCTGCCAGGCCTGGCGCCCCGACAGACCCCCGCTTGTCGGGGAGACGTAAGACCCGGGCACGGGGGACTCGGAAATCCCCGACGAGGTCGTCAAAAAAATGACGAGGCCGAGCCTGCATTTTGACGAGGCCTCCCGCTGCAGACATCCCACGAAACTCCTCCTGGTCAAAATCCGAGTCACGGTCGTCAAAAAACGACGGCGAACCCGAGTCCCGGCAAACCCGGGTCTTACGCTCCCCCGAGCTTGCATCGACCCCCGTCTCGTGCGCCCCGATGAGCCCCGGCCGCCTGCCGCCTGGCCGCTGCCGCCGCGGGGCTCCGCAGCTCCAGCAGCTCCCCGGCCGCCGGCGGGCCCGCGCCCGCCGCCGCGGGGCTCCGCGGCGGCGGCACGGGCGCCGCCCACCGCGGGGCGCCGGCGGGCCGCAGGCGGCAGACGACGCGCGCGCAGCCTTCGGCCACCTGGGGCAGAGGGGGGGGGCTGGTCAGGAGGGGAAAAAACACACAGACACAATTAATCGTCGATTCCCAAGAAAATATGGGAACATATGGGCATTGGGGGGGAAGACAAAAAAACCCGAAAATATAGGAAAATATGGGGGATCTTTTTATTTGTGTGTATTTATTTGTATGTCCCAGGGACCCTTCAGCTGGCGGCGCGCAGAGGGGGTCAGGGGGAGGGGGGGAAGGCTCCTAAGAGGGAGCTCTGGCCAGGAAGTTGGAGGCGGACCCAGCCGTGGTGACGAGGGTCTCCCCAAAGCCCCAGCAAGGCAAGCAGTCGAATCCGTGCCGAATCCGCATCGAGTTCGCGTCGGATCCGCGTCGAACCCACGTCGGAGTACAAGAAGAGACTGCCATTTGCAGGACAGTAAGAGTCTCCCGAAGATCCAAAGTGAGTATTAGTATTGGTACCTTCTCCTCCTTGGCGGCGCGCACAAGGGGGAGTAGGGGGGCTGCTTCTTAGAAGCTGCCGGCCTTCCATCTACAGACAAGGCCCGCGCCTTCTAAGAAGCAGGGGTGCTCCTAAGAAGAATTCCCCCTCCCCCTACACCCCTCTGCGCGTAGCCGAAAGGAGGGGGGAAAGACAGCATGACGGACCAATCGCAACCCACTGGTACCAATCCCAACCGTCCGTGGCAGTCCTCAACCCGCCGAAAGGGCGACTAGTAGCAATTACCACCGGCAATTACAACAAGCGTTTTAAGACGATCAAAACACTAAACGCAGCTTTAACATGTAAACGTTTGGTCTGGCAGACAACATGGGTGGCATCTTCGCTGGTTCCAAGAAGTTCTGTAACATCGGAGTGCTTTCCAGCAGCTGCGCCTCGCCGAGGGCGCTTCGGGGCTGCCTGAATCGTCCAGACCGGCCGCTGGAGACAATAGGCGATTGGGGGTCGACGCGTCGACACGGCCAGAAAAACGCGCGTTTCGGGAGCGTGTCTGGATGCCTGTCATGTTCACGGGGGGGGCGGCTGCGGCCAGAATGCAGCGGGTCTGCGGTCATGTCGGTGCGGGAAGGGATCTGGCCAGATCGTGGCAGGATGATCCCTGCATACGAACAGCCTACAGCCTGCCAGTGGTCTCCACCAAGCACGTCCTTGAATGAATGACATGTCGTGCGCTGAAATCTTGCTCGCGATGGAAAAATGTCTCTGGAGCGCGCCTGGCCAAACGCGACCACCTCCTACTCCAAATTCATCTCAGCCTTCACCTCCTACTCCTCATCCACCTCCGACTCCTCCTGCTCTCCTCCTCCTCCTCTTCAAAACTCATGACCAACACCACGACTGTCAGTATCATACTCAGAATCAACAGCATCGTCATCATCGCCACCACCACCACCAGCAGCTCCATCACCATCGTCGTCATCATCGTCACCACCACCATCATCGGCATCATCACCATCATCAGCATAATCATCGTTATCATCAGAATCAGCATCATTATAATCATAATCATCAACATCATCGTCATATCATCAGCATCATCATAATCAGCATCATCATCATCATCATCATCATCATCACCATCATCATCAACATAATCAGCATCATGATCATCATGACGATCAACATCATCATCAGCATCATCATCATCTGCATCAGCACCAGTATCACCACCATAATCATCATCACCATAATCAGCAGTATCATCGAAAGCATCATCGAAAGCATCATCATCATCACCATCACCACCATCATCATCACCATCATCATCAGCATTATCATCAGCATCAGCATCAGCATCAGCATCCGCATCATCAGCAGCATCACAATCGCCAGCATCAGCAATCATCAGCATTGGCAGCATCACCACCATGATCAGCATCAGCAGCATCATCATCGTCATCACCAGCATCAGCAGACTCGTCATCATCATCAGCGGCATCATCAGCCGCATCATCAGCATCAGCATCCACATCTGCCTCAACAGCAGCATCATGATCAGCACAACCATCATCATCATCAGCATCGTCAGCATCAGCATCGGAAGTATCATCATCATCATCATCATCATCAGCAGCATCATCATCATCGTGTTCCTCAGCATTATCAGCATCACCATCATCATCATGATCATCAACTGCATCAGCATCACCGCCACCACCAACACCACCACCTTCACCACCATCATCAGTATCGGTATGATCATCATCACCATTATCAACATCAGCATCAACATCATCAGCATCAGCATCCTCATCATCATACGCAACATCATCAGCAGCAGCATCACCATCCACATCTGCATCATCAGATCAGCATCAGCAGCACCAGCAGCATCAGCATCAACATCCACATCTGCATCAGCATCCACATCCACATCTGCACCACCACCACCACCACCATCATCACAATGATCGTCGTCAGCATCAGCACCACTATCATCATGATCACCACCACAACCATCATCAGCATCATTACCACCGCCACCATCATCATTCAAGAGAACGCCCGAAGAAACAAACCTCGAACCTCCACCCCTCAACGGTGATCATCCCCCGCTGACGTTAACCCTGAGAAGACGAAGAGGACGAGAGACGAGAGGACGGGGGGCCAGTGGAGGGCAGGATTGGCGGGAGGAGCAGGAGGAGGAGGAGGAGAAGGAGTAGGACTCAGAATTCCTGGGCTATCCCTGGCTGCGCAAGGGGCCTTACGTGTAAGGGGCCCTGACGGTGGGTGCATACTGCCTACGCGCGGCCTCCCCGCGCTGTACGACATGCTGCACTGATGTGTAGCAAAGGACGCTGTGTTGCAGCCCAGCGCCAGCCTGCCTCGCAGACAGGCCCCCCCCCACACACACACACGAACGGATGCCAGCACTATAGCTGATCATGGCTCGCGTTTCTGTCTGTTCACTCCTAAACCCTAAACCCTAAACCCTAAACCCTAAACCCTAAACCCTAAACCCTAAAAACTAAACCCTGAGCTCAACTGCGTAACTGATGATCTGCCCCGCCGCCGCGGCTCCCGCACCACGACCGCGCTTTCCCCGTGCCCGCACTCTCTCGCCGCGGCCCCGAGCACTTCTGCGTCTCCCTCGCACGAGCTGACCTCTGCACTGGCAGCTGATCGCTGGTGCTCTGCGCGCCCTGCCGTGCAGGGTGCGCACGTTGCGCAGGAGCTGATCCCTGCCCTGGAGCTACGGGACCCTGCGCGCCGCCCCTGCCTGCCACTGCCCGCCATTCTCGCAAGCCGATGCCCTGGAGCTGTACATGATGACGGTAGGCTCACCTTACTCCCCCCGCTTGGCACCACTGCACTCCGTTCTCGCAGTCCACCCTGGTCCCCGCCTTGTGGCAGGGGTCGCGGGGCGGGCCTGGCTGTCCTTCGCACCCACACGCTCCTCTTTCTCGACGTCGCTGTAGCGGTTTGCATGCTGCCACTGCCTGCCCTTCTCGCATGTCGTGGACCGAGCGCTGTAGCTAATGACGATGGGCTATCCTTCCTCCCGCCATGTGCCGCCTCTGCAACCCCTTCTCGCAGTCTACCCTGGTCCCTGCCCTGCGGCTGGGGTCGTGGGGCGGGCCTGGCCCTTCTGTGCCCTTGTTCTCTCGCAGGAGCTGGCCACTTCGCTGCCTGCTGCCACTGCCTGCCGTCCTCGCACGCCGTGTTCCGAGCGCTGTAGTTGATGACGTTGGGCTCGATGTTGTCCCTCTGCTGGCAACCAGTGCCCGCCTTCTCACATTTGCTGCCCCTTACGAGCTGTCTCGCCAGCGGCATCCGCTGCTGACTTGTAGCTGATGACGGTTGCTTCACTGCCGATCGGCAATCGCTTGTCGCTAATGCCCGCTTCTTGGCAACCGTCAGAGAATACTTCTACCAACGTCCGGCGGTCGGTCCGTCTGCCATTTCATGCGGAGATCACGTAACCCGTCAGGGGGCCCGTGCACCATGGAAGGGATGCGGACTCCTGAAGATAGGAGCACGCCGGCGAAGGAGGTGGAGCTCGCTTGATGGCGGGGCGAAGACGAGAAGCTGGAGGGGGGCGCGGAGAGAGAAGCGAAGCCATCGCGAGACTGCACACACGGTTGTCACCTGGTCCCAGTTCTGTAGCTGCATGGGGTTCCAACCTCTTGATGGCTCTGGGCTGCAGTGCCGTTTTCAAGCCTGCCGTCCCGAATTCGGCCCCGTCCGAGGAAAATGGCTGAGTAGGAGGAGGAGGAGAGAAGGAGGAAGAGGAGGAGGAGTAGCAGGATGGGGAGGAGGAGGAGGAGGATGGCGGAGGATGGCGGAGGAGGAGGAGGAAGACCCGTGGGGGGCAGAGCCACCAGGATGGCTTCATGCAGTTCGCGCCGCTCGCGCTCCATGTCCGCCAGGACCAGGCTGCCCAGCCCGTGGTCTCCTGCCGCCCGGGACTCCACGAGCGAGCGGATACAAACATGCGCACGAACGAGCGAACGTCGGCGGCGAGCGAGGGGGGCCAGCGAGAAGGACTAGAAGGCCTCCTCGAAGGCGGCGGGGCTTCTCTCAAAGCCCGCGCGCCTTCTGGGAGGTCTTCGGTGTCTTCAGGGACGGCTCGGAATCCTTCTCGGAGTGCCAGGGGGCCTCCTCCGAGAAGGCCCGCCGCTTCTCGCTTCGCCCCCGGCGCCGCCGCCGAGAACGGGAGCCACCGCTGGGGGGGGGGGGAAGACGAGACGGGGGCCGTGGGCCGAGACCGAACGCGGGAGTGTCGTGGCTGTCTTGGTCACCATCACACCCTTGGTCAGCGCCGATTCGTGGATCCTCCTCGCGGGCTCGACGGCGGCAGGCACGGACCATGACGGAGCCAGGCGTCGAGAGGGTCTCGCGGCATCCTGGTCATGGCCAGTGTGCGTCTGCCCTCGAAGTGCAGGGGAAACTGTACGAACTGCGGGGATCGGCGTGTAGCGCCGCAGCGCTCACAGCGTCTTCGCGACGAAGCCTTCTGAAGATGCCGGATGTCGTTGGGTAGAGATTGGATTTCCGATGTGTATAATCTGGAATGTGATTTAAAAGTTT